CAATTTCCTCATGTATAAAATGGGTATAATAATGATACTCAAACAAAAGTATTGCTGTAGAATTTAAATATTTAAATTCGCTAACAAGGCTCATTACCTACTACACACTAAGTGACACAGATCTGTCACCTCACTTGATGCTCTCAATATCCTGGGAGAAACACACTGTTAAAGCTCACTATTTTTAGGGAAAGTAAGAATCACTACCTTCTCCTGTGAGGATGGCCACACCACAGTCCCTTCTCCTCCATTCTCCTGTCTGGATTTTGGGCATGCATACACACACACCTGGTATGAGTCTTAAGCCATCAGATCCAGGACTTGAACTGTGGTTTGGTAGTTCAGCACCTTAACTGCCATGCCATCTGCTGGGCCCTAAAACCTCCCTTTTAAAGGTAAGGAAAGGTAAGGAAAGGGAGATACTGTAGGGCAGGTGATTTTTCCAGATTCACCCAAATAATGAGTGACAAAGCTAGGAAGTGATTCAAAGTAGGCCACCCTGGAGCCCTCACTAACTGCTCTGTGGTAGAGTCTGACATAGAGCTAGCTGTTGATTACCATTGCATTATATCCCAGGAAAAGACTATTAAGAAATGACCCAAGCTATACCAGTAAGCGGATAGCAATACCATGTCACCAGACACATGGGACTGAAACATCTTCAAATTCAAGTCTGCCTGTGCCCTTAGATCTGAATAGTGAGTACCATGGAGTGTGGGAAGAAGGCTGGGGGCTGGAAAGAGCCTAATTCTCCGGGACAGTGTGTCCATACCCTAAAGGGCCAATGTTTTCAATTAGGACATTACCTTGTGCATCTCCCAATGAAACCAATATAGAAGTGCCATTAATCCCCAGTCATTGCTACACCCAGAAAGTGGGTGCCATGCTGCCTGGGATGCTTCTGAGAAACAACAGAAGATGAAGCAGTGTGTCTGAAGGGGGAAGGACATGATAATGCCAAGAACTTTTAACAACCAGAAAGTATCAAAGCCAGAACAGCGCCTGATGTTAGGATGTCAGCCAAAGAAGAGCTTGTCACTGGGTTCATTTACATCAGACAAAACAATGGGCCCACAGTGCCTTCCTTCTGGCATCTGACAGAAAGGGGTGCTGAAAAGTGACTATAAAGACAACGTCAGGACACGCAGACACCTGGAAAAGGCCCTGCTGTGGGTAAACAATTATATCCCGTCACAAAGAAAAGAGCTGTCTATGATTTTTTTTAAAAAGAGCCTAAAAATTAAACTGTCTATCATGAGCCAGTTTAGCTCTTTTCCTTCCTTCTGGGGATGAGGAACTGACTTTATTTCTGTCTTCCTTAGAAGCATCCTCTTCCAGCATAAAAAAATCCTGATTTCAAATGAACACAATATCAGTAATAGTCTATGAGAAAAAGTCTTCTGGACTTACAGTGTCCAAAGCAAAAAGAAACAAAAGCAATGAATAGGTTGTCTTGGGGAGATATTTATTTTTGAGCCAAGGGATAAAAAATTGCAAACCCTTATCATTTCTTCAATTCCCTACTGGAGTCTTGCCTCTAGTTCAAAGGCATTCCAATAATTCTTAAGTGCCCAGTTTGTGTTCATGTCTGTGCCTCCCACTTGGCAAGAAACCATAACTTCTTCAGCTTTGCCATTGCCTGGCACCATACTTAGATCATGGCAGGTGCTTCTGAAACTGTTGAATTAAGTAATAATGAACTAACCTGAAGCTGCCTACAATCTGAATCTAACCCTGCTTCCTTTGCCCTTTGCCCCATAGATATTCCAAACAAATTCCTATTCACTGGGTCTGCACAGCTCATCTGTATCACTTACACACCTGCTCTTCCATGTATGACATGCCACTTGCTACCTCTCTACCTCACCCAAGTCCCAAGGAGGCATCACAACAGAATGGCTCCAAAGGACAGCTAGTATGCGGGTCCTGGTCCAACTACTGACTATTGTATACCTTTGGGCAAGTTTTAATCTCATTTGTTTTGTTTCCTCCACTGAAATTATGAGGTTAACTAAAGTACTGACTTCAAAGCATTCTGAAATGGATTAACTGAGATGCTCCTTGTAAAGTGATGAACACGGTTTCTGCATTCAAGAAATGTTGGCTGCGACTGTAGCTCATAGTGACAACAACAATGACGATGATGATGATGACGAAGCTCCTTCGAAGTTTACCTAAGACATTCTTCTGGCCCTTTCCAGATTCTGTTTCATAGTAGAATCCTCCAGGGTCCATGAAGTTATACTCCAAGTCTGATTTGACTTCCCATTATCTATGGCCTCTATGGCTTTCCTTGCAGCAGGCTCCCTAGAAGTGTTCCCTGAATGTACAAAGAGATGACTACAGACAGCAAAAAGGAGTGTATTGAAAAGCAACAGCCACTACCACCTGAGTTGCCCTACATTAAAACATAGGCTTTTTTAAGACGCTCTGATAAACTCCACACACTCAGCAAGAAACTGTGACCTCTTTTGAATAAGGAAGCAGTCTTCCATAAAGGCACCTGACTGCTTGAGAATATCCAGGAAGTGTAAGTCAAGACTCAGTGCATCTAAATAGAATTCTTTGCCTGTCTCTCCAGTCAACAGTAACACTGAGTCATCAAAGAAAGCAAGCTCAAAGGAAAAGAGCTTTTGGAATCAAGTAGTTCTAGCCACACCCAAATTTCATGTTCACAGACATAGTCACCTGAGTTGGTGGTGTCACAAACAGAAAATAAGACTGTATTCTGCACTTAACTCAATCCCTTAACCATTATTCCATTAGTTTTCTTGTTACATTTCACTGGTTGGCTCTTCTAAAATGCACACACACATGTACACACATACACACACACACGACTCTAAGGACACTAATTACCCAATAAAGAAACATCTAAGTCTACACCAGCTACCTTTAAAAAACACTGTGATTAGTAAATTCTCCTTTACAATAAATAACTCATCCAACCAAAAGTAAGAGACCCCAAGATTTTATGTATTAAAAAATGAAATTTGAGCTTTCAAAGAAAATCAAGCTATTTTAAATATCAGTGAAAATATATGCTCCATTACAAATTCCTCTACAAACATCTGAAGGTTTTAAAAGATCAAAAGAAGATAAATGATATCTTATATTAAACTCTTAATAAAATCCAGATGAACAAATCTAATTTATGTGGTGACAAAGAATTATTCATCTGTGTGTTATAGGTATTATACATGTATGCTGGCTTTCCTTTTGCTATTTGGAATTGCACTAAATCTTGTGATCAAATGAATGAAATTCATCAACTACTATTAACAAAATAAAAGGCTGAACTTATTTCATTAGGAGATTAGAGGGTATGAATCAGTATGTGTGACTGAATATCCTTCTATTCTGAGAATCACAGCAGTGAATAACTCCGCTACTGTCTCATTCCCACTACCACCAACACACAAATTGCTCCCTTCTATTTGTGTCTGTAGCCAGAATATTTGTGGCATTTGTATCTAGACTTCAAACAAACCATTGTTCATAAATATAGGACACAGCCACAAATTCCTCACAATATCCATATGAACATTCATCTCTAAATGGTGTTTTACAGCACATGAAATGTAAAGTTATATGAAGAATAGGGATAAATAATAAACAGAAGCATCCTCCTGTTAAACTCAGAGAGTAAACTCATTAGACACACACCTTTATTTCCAGAATTTATAGAAGATGTGAGTTAGAGCAGTAATAGAAAAAAACCTAATTTTAATTAACACTCAGGTGTCAATATTGCCATCAGTGGCTCTAACTTGTCTATTTCCCTGAGATTTACCAAAAATTCAGTTTATTTTCCACCAGAAAAGACATTATTGAAAAGCAATTACAACAACAATGCTTATATGGAATTATGAGCATTTCAGAGTTTATAGACACAAGGATCTTTCTAATCATCACTAATTAACAATATTTCCTTCATAAAATCAGAGGGATTTCTTTCAAACTGTAAAAATATTTCTATGTGCTACATGTAAGTTCTGGAATAATCATTTCAACTCTTTGAGCATAAGACACAGTGCCAGGTCAACAGGAATAACCTTTATGCTACGAGGCTGCCCATTCAAAAATTATATTATTGTTCTGTAACAAAAGGGAGCTTAAATATTTTCTCTGCCACAGAAAGATTTAATAGCAATTCTCCAGGGATTAATTAGCATGAGCAAGGATTTTCAAACACTCTGCTCCAACCTACAAGAAAGCCCCGTAGCTGAGAGCTGAGGTCCAGAGCTGGCTGCCTGGATCTGCCCCTGCTGTGGCTCACTTGCTGTCTGACTTCAGCCAAGTACCCTCATCTCTCCTGGAATACAGTTCTGTACCCAAGATATGTGAGCAACAGTGACACCTTCACTGGGATGATGGGTGGAACTAAATGAGATCATCCTTTCTTAAGCTCTCAACAAAGTGCCTGGCACATAGGAAGGAAGTATGAAAGGTTGCAATTGCCATGCAGCAGGGGGAGGAGGTAAAAATAACCCCATTATCTCCACCAGCTATTTGGATGTTTGCCCATTTCTTCTAGAAGGAGAGGAAAACAGGACACTATCCAGAGGACAAACCACACACAGTATAGTCTTACCAATGGTCAACAACTGATGCCCTAAAACCAGGAAAGTGGTTAGCAGAACCGTGGTGCCTTAGTTTGGTAAGCACTCACAGCTCTTTATCCTGAAAAACCAGGGGATAGGAAATTCTTGTTGCTAGCTTCTATTCTTCCTTTTTTGTAAATATTTGGAAACAACTCAGCATAGCCCAGGTGAGCAAGTGCCTTCTCTTTCCCAAATGTTGGGCAATTACTACACCTCACATGACCAAGAAGCTCTCTTGAGCATCTAGAATTGAATTTTAATTCAATGGACTGTCCAACTTCTCTTTCTTTCAGGCTGCTTACTGTCTTCAACAAGGGTTGGGAAAACAAAGATGAAAACCTATTTGGTTTATACTTGGAAGGGCAGTCAAATCAGCCATGAAATCATGGTACTTACAAACATGAGGCGGGTAGGTATGTTGTCTGATTGCACCAAAGGATTTTTATAGAGCCAGATCTCTTCCGGCTGGATGACTCTCTGGAATGGATCCAAAAACTCTGTAAAACTGAAACAAACAAAGAAAAGTGTGTGAAGCCTGAGCATTGGGCTGCTGCCTGCAGTTCCCAGGGAGGTCAACTCCTGTATGTTCTCAGGGGGAGAATCCAGCCTTCTGGGAAGGCAGGGGAAATAGGCAGCCTCTGTAGATGTTTCTCAGCAAGTTCCAACTGGAGAAAGACTGAAAGAATTACTGAGACTTTGTAGAATCTTCTGTTGCCATTTGCTAGCAAAGAACAATTCAGGGTATACAATTATAGCTGTGAGTGTGACATACAAAGACTCTTAAGAAGTTGGTGTTTCATAATGAACTGAAAACTGAAGTGTAAATTCAGTGTTCAGACTGGGCAAGGCAAAGCAATTAGCATAGTCTCTGGGAACTCAATGGGCTTGAGTTGGAGTAAGAGTGAAAGAGCATCTGGCTCCACTTGGGCAAGAACTGTGCCGTTCTAACATTCCATATCCTGATGGCGCCATGCCATCCCCACGTCCACTAGGGGGCAGAGTGAAAATGAAAAGTTTCTCAAAGAAGGTAGTATTGAAGGTTGAGACAGAAGGAAAATGCAGAGGAAAGAAATAAGGGGAAAAGGGAAATGAGGTATGTTGTAGGACTGTTGACATGATGGCTTTCAGCATCCCATCTCATCTCTTCACACTGCCAGATCCCACTTACCCCTGAGAACCCACAGCACTCGGCTGCCTGTGTTGTGTCTTTGCTGGTAGGGCAAAGGAAAGCAATCTGCCAGGAGAAAAACTGAGATATGAGGGGTAGCAGAGACTGAATCATGAGTGTGGTTTGTTTTTTCAGATCTCAGCCATCTGGCTACCTCCCAGCTCTCTAGGCCAGCCTCTACCTAATGAACTCAGTTCCCCATGGTTTCAGACACAGCTAGAAAGAGCCAAAGAAGCCAGGTTATTCTGGACTTTGAATGCCATGTTACAGAATTTCTATTTTAAGCCAATGAGAGATCCAGCAGAGAGGTGTCAGATGAGAATTACAATTCAAAATTATGGCCCTGGCAACAGTGACAATAGGACTCAGAGGAAATCAGAGAAGGGAAGGCTGGAGGTAGTTAGGGGTTATGGCAAGAGATGCCTAAAAGTAGAGAAGAGAACAACCGGCTGGAAGGACATGTAGGTGGGTACATGGGAAGAGAAGCCATTTCCAGATCTTCTGGGAAAAGGGAGACCATGAGCCAAGATGAGAATGGGAGGGATGGGAAACAGGGAAAGAGGAAGAGGTCAGTCATCTCCTCTTCTAGGAAGCCATCCAGGGTGGCCAATAGTCCTAGTTTGCCTAAGACTTTCCCAGTTTCAACACTGAAAGTCCTATATCCCAAAACCCCTTAGTCTTGAACAAATAAAGACAACGGGTTGTCTTAAAGTTGTCCTGGTCCCCAGATAGAATCAGGCATCTCACAGCCTTGGATTCTATCCTAGACTTGGGCCTTTGGTTAATCATGATCTGTTTGCATTTTTGGCTACACTGTGAGATGTGGAGGGCAGGGGACTCCAGGGTTATAAACTCGGAGCCCACTAAGATGGCTAAGCCACTGCAGGAGCTCAGCAACTGCAGACTTGAATGTCTACTTGAGACTCTGAAGAGTTGCCACAGAAACTGTTTTCAATTTTATCAGCCTCATGCCAACTATATGAGGGGCCTTCAAAACGTTCATGGGAAAAATGGAACTAAAGTACAAGTTAATTTCAGTGAAAAAAAAAAGAGAAGTCTATTTATAGTTTTTCATAATATGCATTTTCCATGAGCTTTTTGAGGATTCCTCATGTCATATACCTAAAAGAGATCAAATCTGACTTTCGTGTCTTACTCTCTACATCCCTCTCTCCCTCCCGCCTGGCTTCCTCCCCTTCCCCATCCTCTTTCCTCCCTCCAACCATGAGGTTCTAAGTAAAAGAAGAAGAAACAAAAGAAGGAAGGAAGGAAAGAAAGAACGAGAGAGAGAGGAAGGAAGGAAGGAAGGAAGAAAGGACAGAAGGAAGGGAGAAGAGGGGAGAAGAGAGGAGAGAAGAGGAGAGGAGAGAAGAGGAGAGGAGAGAAAGAAAAGCCTGTGTATTCATTTAATTCAATAAGAAAGAGATTTTCATGGCATTTTTCTTAGCATTGTTTCCCCAGCACCTCGGCCTAGCACATGAGAGTCACTTGGTAAATATCTGCCACACGGCTAAATTAACCCACACAGTACCATTATCACAGAACTCAGTCAACACTTCATCAGGCCTGAACTCAGAACATTTCTATTGCAGAATCTTACTATAAATGCACTGAGATCCTTTCATCAGTGTGCAAGTAACTTCTGCTAAAACTCTGCTAAATCCGCTCTTCAAAATTCCTTCAAAAAGGGAGTATGGAGGAGCACCCTGTCTGGGCCTCAGGAAACCTGCTCTCTGCCCCAGTCTTCCCATTATGCTACTCTGTGCCATGGGGCAAGCCACTTCTTCTCTTGGGTCTTCATGTCCTTCTCTACAACAGGGGAAGACTAATTCAGAGACTTCAACCAGAGACAAGTCAGAACTTTTTGGATGGCACCTGGCCTCAAACCTCTTAGTATAAACAAGGCCTGATATTATGGATTTTAAAACACCATGGAGGTGCCTCTGATGGGCTCTAGATTCCCTGTACTGAAATGCATCATCTCCAAGGGTCTCACATCCTTGTTAGCAAACAAAGGCGACATGGTGATTTAACTCTCCCCATTAACCACTCTTCCATATGCTTCAGGACAAACTCTGGAGTCAGACCCACCAGAATTCAAATCCCAGTTCTGGCAATGTGGCTCTTGGTTAGGCCCGTCTCTGAGCCTCCGTTTCCTCATCTGTAATATGGGTACAACTAAAAGAGCTGAAATAAAAATTAAGTGAAAGAATACATACAGAATGTCTAACAAAACAGGAACAGAAACTAGTAAATTATTTTTTTTTAACACTAGCACTTTACTCAGGCTTATACCTACATGTTTTTACTAGACAATTTTTAAGGCTTTTGATCATTTCATTTTGTGACAACTTACTTCCTGTTCCTGAGATATTAAGACACTTTAAATGAAAAAAAAGAAAGAAAGAAAATATAATTAATTTCATTTGAAAGGTATTTTTAAGACTCTGTTACCAACTTGTGATACTAAGGCTTCTAAAACACTCCGGTTATTATGGCTGCATAACAAATTACCCTCAAACATTTTATTTTGCTCATGATTTTGTGGATTAGGAAACTAAGAATTGTTGGACAATTGTCTTAGGTAATTCTCACTTAGAATCTTCTATATGGTCTGGTCTCGGTAGTCAGACATCAGCTGGGGTTAAAGTCATCTGAAGACTCAACCTGCTGAATATCAAGATGGCTCATTCACCAGCCAGTGATGCTGGGAGCTGAGTTGGAGCTGCTATCAGAGCTCCTTCACATGCTTTTCCACCATGGCACTCTCAGAGTAGTCAGAATGCTTCATGGCTACTGGCTTCCTCTAGAATGGTTGTCCCAAGAGACCTAGAAACAGCTTAGCCTCAGAGGTCACAGAGTGTCATTCCCACAACATTCTGTAAGTTAGGAGTGATTCTTAAGGTCAGCCCAGATTCCAGGAAGGGGAACTGACTGTACCTCTTCACTGGGGTATGGCAAGATCCCCCTACAGAAAACCAGGTGGATGAGGAATAAGGCTGCAGCCACTTCTGAAATACAACTTGCCTCCCAGAAGATTTATTAATACTGTAATAATCATACAGCCTCTATGCTGAGAGACCCCAAAACCTTACATTTCGTTTCTTCCCCACACAGCCAGCCACAGAGCCAAGAACCCAGGCACACCACTGCACACCTTCCTCCGTCACCTTATTTGACTCCCAGGTTTTCCTGTTCTCATAGCAATGCTTCTAAAGACTTATGCACCCAACCTTTTGCACAATCCCTCACCCCACCCCTAGTAACTGCAGCCAGAACATATCTATCAAGCAAATTATACCCTCTGGGAGCAGCAGGACCAAGAAAGATAAATGTCCCTTCTCCAGCCACTGGCATCTGCTCAGAGAATCCAGATAGCAAGGCAGCTGTTCACAGGACTGGGATCTTAGCAAAGCAAATAAGGGCTGAGGTGGGCACACGTGGGACAGAAAGTCCTGGAGACACCTTCAGTGTTTCCAAGAAATAGAAACCCTGCTTCTAGTAAGAAGTGAAGCTCGGTCTCTAGTTGCCTCTTCACCAGGGCTTACAACCCACTGAGGTCTCCCCAGCAGTGAATTAAGTCAGTGGTTTCCAAATCTGATTGTGTCCAGGAATCTCCTGGGGGGTGGGGGTAGGGGGGCTGTGGTTGAAGATCCAGAGACAATAGGCCCAGGGAAGGCCTTAGAAATGACATTTCTAGCAAACTTGATGGAGGTACAATGCTGCTGGCCTGTGGATCAAACCTTGAGTCACACAAGGCCAGAGCATCAAGCATCACCCGAGAGCTTGTTAACAGTACACAATCCTTGGCCCAACCCAGTCCTAGTGACTGAGAACCTGTATTAAATACAGGAATTTGTGCCCATGCTATGGTTTGGCAAGTACTTCCCAACTTCAGCCATTTAAGAACCAAACTGACTGGTTTTACCCTATCATCCCTTCTACCTGTACAGTTACTTTTCTTTAGATTGAATCCCCTTGTAATTTAAGTCAGTTAACTTTAGAAGAAACTTTATGTCACTGTTTAATTATAAAATCGATATTCTCTACAAAAATAGCTGGTAAACACCAAAATAAATACAATGGACATATGGGCTGGCCCCCTAGTGCAGCAGTTAAGTTCTATGCACAGGAAAATAGATTCCACTTGGCTGACTACAGTTCCAACACTGGCCGCTACAGCTTCAGAAACACATGTATGTGTGCCCCAAATCCTGATGGGATGAAGAAATGGAGACATGATTGCAGCATGACCATACCCCATTAGCTGCTCTGTCTCTCTCTCTTGTGAGTACGTATACTCTCTGGTAAATTAAATAAATAACACTTAAAATATA